TGTCTCTTCAGTGTCTCTTGTATCTCCGATTAACTTAAAAGATAACTCTGGCTAAGAAATCTGACTGGAATCTTAAGATTTCTACAAACTGACCATCTCAAGTCCATACACAGAATGATTTCTTACATTAAAATGTGGTATGCAGTTCTCTGTTTGAACAACATGGTTATTTTACTATTTCCCCTCCTAGCACACTGTGGTCTTGTTAGAAAGTAAAACCATACTGGATAGACATATGCCCTTGAGCTGCACTGAAAGCAGCCACACATATGTTTCAGCTTTCCTGACATTACACAGAGGTTTCTGTAGAGTTTAATGTGGCCATTCGTTTTTACCCACTAATTGCAGGGAGAAAGTTGGCTGAATGTAATGCTGTCTTAAGCAAACACTGGTTCCTTTCGTAGTCTTGTTCACAGTACTCAGCAGGCATAGTAAATTCTGGCTGGGTTAAAAAAAACTCTACAGCTGTGCTTTAACAACTGTCTTATTCAGCAATTATTGTAATCGAAAGCCAGCGATCAAATAAAGGATAGTTTAGATTTTACAGGTGTGTGATAGCTACAGTATGAAGAATATTTTTAAATAGCTTGTGAATTTCTGAATATGTGATTATTCATTTATGAATATTTACAGACTGTCTAGATCTGAAGATTTCAAAATCATGTAATTTTTTTTTAAAAAAAAACCTAAACCAAGAATATATTTATTTAGTTATTTATTTACTTTGCTTATATACCGCTGTTCTCAGCCCGGGGGCGACTCATACCAGGGCTGGCTGAGACTTGCATCAGATGTGAATACCTCACATCGCTATGTCTCAAAAGTTATGTTTCATGAAATGTCTCTCTCACACACAAACACCAACACACACACACAAACACCAAAAAAGCATCTTATATTCAGTGTACTACATTTCTATGTCATTGGAGAATTTATTTATTTATTTATGACATTTATATGCTGCCCTTCTCACCCCGAAGGGTACTCAGAGAAGTGGGAATCAATACAAACACACCCAGTTATTTTCCTACAGGTAAACACATCCGCAAGGACATCCAAGATTAGGTCACTGAGTATGGTTTACTCCTGATGTTTTCAACTCAACTCCCATCAAACCCATCCATCATTACTAGTGATCAGACCTTACGGGAGTTGTAGTCCATATGGAAGACATGAGTTGCCTAACTCTAGCTTAAAAGGTGACAAGGGGAAATCCTATCTTACCCTAAAGACAGTAGCTTCTTCCTAATGTTGGAAACTAAGCAGGGTTTGGTTGTGGTTAATATTTGAATACAATAGGAGACCACCAACAAATACCAGGTGCCATAGGCTATATTTCAGAAGAAGGAACTGGCAAAACTACCTCTGATTGTTCCCTGCCTATGAAAACCCTATGAAATTCCTAAGTCGACAGATGACTCGAAGGCATCCCCCACACACAATTCATGAATTAAATACAGATTTGCCATCATTTCAGGAATGCACAAGCTGACATTTCAAGAGTCAAGCAAAGCATTCGTTATCATGCCAGACATTGAGGAAATCAATATAGTGATGTACAACAGTGTAAGCACAATTGCCTGGCAGGCTTTTCAATCATTTTATACTTAAGATATAAGGGAATTCATTAAGTTGGTTTACATACTGCCCAGACAGCCTTATGCCTAGCACACAAACTCAAAAATAAAAATCTGTGAGCAATTTCAAATCAGCTGCTGCCAATGCACAATATTCTGAGTTACCACAAAGGATCAGAAGGCTTAATTACACGACTACGCTCAAGCCAAGGTAAATATCACAGCCAGATTTCCAACGAACATTTAAACTGGGATTTGATTTCTGCAATTCCGTATTTAGAATTGATGGTGGGTGAACCACGTGTAATTAGGTGGTGTAATCTGATCTAGGAGACGTCTCATGTGTGAAACCTAGGGCAGCTTAAGAATGAGGGGCCCAGCCATAACTATTTCCATAAAGGTTTTTTCAAGAATTGAGCACAGTTGGCAATATGGTTTTCATACTGAACAGACGTCTCTAATTTAAGGTTGATGCACTTTCTGTTTTGCTTTCAAAGTTGGAAAGATAATGTCCACAATCAAGCCCATAGCCAGGATTTCGTTTCGGGGGGGGGGGGGGGAAAAATTTTCGGGGGGGGTTTGGAGGGGGGCTGAGTTTCGGGGGGGGCTGAGTCTGAGTGAAAGAGGGTCTAGCCTAGCAAACCTTTTGTATCATTACCCCAATACCCCCATGCATATGGGATATATTGAGTATGGTGATCAGATCGTGATATGAATAAACATAACAGTTTAAATAATGCACCAGTAAGGCCTTTTCGCGAACCACCATGAGAATTTCGGGGGGGGGGCTGAAGCCCCTCAAGCCCCCCCCCCCCAGCTCCATGCCTGTCCACAATTAAGCAAAATGAAAACCATCTACAAAGTTCAGTTTTAAAATGCTAACAAAAGTCAAATGTAACATTTTTACTTGGGGAACTTGACAAACATATTTTAAACCATTCCAAGATTAACAATAGTCACTTTACATGTATTAGCCCTTACAACTGCAATATACCAAAGAGACATATTAAAGTACCATCCTTTTCATAAATGTGTTGGTTGCTATTAACTTGTGAAAATCAAATTCATAGAGGACACAATTTCAGTATGTAGCACTGACCGCATTATCTCATTCTATTCTAATCTTTTCTAAGTGTACAGTCGACCCTCCGTATTTACAAATTTAATCAATCATAGATAGTAAAAGTAAAAGTTTTCCCCTGACATTAAGTCTAGTCGTGTCCAACTCTGGGGGTTAGTGATCATTTCTAAGCCATAGAGCTGGCGTTGTGTATAGACACCTCCAAGGTCATGTGGTCGGCATGCCTGCATGGAGCGCCCTTACCTTCCCACCAGAGTGGTACCTATTGATCTACTCACATTTGAATGTTTTCGAATTGCTTGGTTGGCAGAAGCTGGGGCTAACAGCGGGAGCTCACCCTGCTTCCTGGATTCAAACCACTGACCTTTTGGTCAACAAGTTCAGCAGCTCAGCAGTTTATCCCACTGTGCCACCGGGGACTCCCAATCATAGATAAAAAATGTCTTTTAAAAAGCACTGCAGAACATCTCTTCTCTTCCCCATCCCACCTGCTGGCCTTACAAAAGCACCGTTGGTAGGTGTTCTGTGGCACTCCCTGCTGAGGATGAAGAAGCCACTGAGGAGGGAGAAAAGACTAATTTCTGGCAATAGCCAGAATATTGGTGGCGGGGGTTGAAACCTTTTTTTAGCTAATCATGACAAGTAGTTCCATAACACAAAATAATTTAAATAGTATGGTTCTTCAGTCTATATTTTTATACAGACTCAATTAAATCCATTTTCTATTTTAGTTACAAAGTTTCAAGTATTCAAATAACTGAAAATGACTGTTAATAGTTACACAAGAATGCCATAACATCTGTTGGAAACACTTGAAAACTGTGTCAATACACTTTGACAGAAATCAGGCTCCATCAATAAACTTTGGTGGACACTCAAGAGTGCAAGTCCAGTCAGCCTTTCTTGCCTCATTGGGCTTCTTATGTATGTTTTCAAACATTTAAGAGTTGAAAATGATGTATATATATACAGAGATAGCAATGGAAGCCCTACGATCTGAAAAAGGGGAGGCGGGAGCAAGGAGGGAAAGCCCTAATTTCCCATTAGGAACCTGCCTCCTACCTCATGCTGAAGTAAAGAGCACAGCAGTGGGGCAGAGCAGCCTTAAATAGCCTGCAGCGCTGCCCTTGTCAACTACCCTCACCAAGTCTGGTCTCTTTCATGTCAGCCTTCTAATCCACCCCCCCCCACCCCGCCCTCAATACCTTAGGCTTTGCCTGCCAGTTATGGGTGGCCAAATTGGTTGCTTCCACTATATTGGCTATTGCTGCAAGTAATGACAGTGTGAATGAATTGTCGTTCTGGAGAGACTCGTTCAATTTTTCACTACTCATAGTATGGGGATTTGGTTAGACAGTTAAAAAATATGAGTAAACCAGATTTTCTCTAACCTGAAAATTTCGGGGAGGGGGTTGAACCCCTGACCCCCTTCCCCCCCCCCCCCCTTGGCTACAGCCTTGGGAAGAATAGAGTGCAATGCCTGTCAAACTGAAGTGGGAAAGGATAGCTCATATATGTGTGGAGTTGCTTTCAGGCTGCACATGGGGTAGAGTGAGAGGTATCAGGTGGCACTTGAGGTCCCTTCTTGTTTTAGACCTCGGTTGCAGCATGCAGTGATAGTTCTTGAGATGTAAGCAAGCAAGAATCTGTGGTGCTGGGAAAACTTTACAGCACTTGCCTAGTAATTAACTTCGAAATATTATGAATAATGCTCCACATAGAAGAGGAGGAGGAGGAGGAGGATTTAAAGATTGAACTGCAAAGACTCTGGCACAAGCCAGTAAAGGTGATCCCAGTGTTTATCGGCACACTGGGTGCAGTGCCTATAGATCTTGGCCTGCACTTAAACACAATCGGCGCTGACAAAATTACCATCTGCCAGCTGCAGAAGGCCACCTTACTGGAATCTGCACGCATTATTTGCCGATACATCACACAGTCCTAGACACTTGGGAAGTGTCTGACGTGTGATCCAATACAACAGCCAGCAGAGTGATCTTGTCTGCTGGGGACTCATCTTGTTGTGTTTCAAATAATAATAATAACTTTATTTTTATACCCTGTCACATTCTCCCCGAAGGGACTCGGGGCAGCTTACAAGGGGACAAGCCTGAAAAATACAGATTAAAACATATAGACACACACCAATGTGCACTAGACTGAATCCACATGAATTTAATTATTGTATTTGAAGTCATTTATAGAATGGATCTTAGCCTCCAATGATTTTGGTTCTAGAACCCATCCCGCACAGAAATGAAGGGTCGGCTGCACTTGCTTTAGATCTAGTGCTTTACTATGTCTGTCAAACCAGAAGAAGTATAGAAAAGAGTTGTACATACCTGGCAAAAAAGGAAGCTGCCACTGAGGTGCCTGTTGATGTTTCGCTGGCAACACAGGTGCTTTGGGAGACAGGGACGCTGTGCAAAGAAGGCTTATCTGCATTGTAGCGGTTCAGCACAGCTTCAGTCAGTCCCTCTCGACCTGTCTCAGTTATCAATTGTGAAATCTAAAAGGGAAAAAGAATAAGAAATAATAAGGTCATTGGGTGTCATTGCATTCAGAACACTATTGCAACCTTTTAAATGTATTCACTACCACTCTCCAATGCTTATTTGGAGCACTTTGACTAGGACTTCACCTCATTTTCATCAAAAGTAATGAGCTAAAATAACCTCCTGACATTGTATGTTTCCATTATGGCTTTGGTGTTTCCTCTGTTTGGAGGAGAAAGTGTAGACATTATCCTTGCTCCATTTAAGCACAGTAGGGGACTCTGAGACATTAGTCAAAGCCTATTTATTAAAAGGAAATTTCCACAAATGTTTGTGAGCAGTGCAACACCAAGTTCTGCTTAATGCAAGTCAAAATGATGTCCAGGAAGAATGCTAAGCAGATCAATGTCTTCTGAGCATTAAAGGCATGTGATAATAACTAGAGCAGGACATTAATGCGTACCTCACATAGTATTAGCCATAATCTCCTATGGAGTTGAAGGCACAGTACACTAAGAGCTTAATGATATGAACGCGGCTAGTTAAATAAATCCTTCCTTCCTGTATGTATCAATTGGCATTGCCAGTGCATCAGAGACAATTGCATCTTTACCTTCACCCCACCCCAACCTTGCCCCTAAGAATTGTCATTATTCACACTACTGTATTTATTTAATGTAATAAGCAATGCATTTTTCTTACCAGAAAGATAAGTTACAAAACCAGTACTTTGCAGACCAAAAGTGAAATTTGCTTGGGTAGCATTATAGTTACTTGTTTCCATAATTTTGGACCTGAAGGTTCTACTTTTTGCAGCAGATCCACTCCTTGATCCAGCCTGTTTATAAGAATCCCTGGGGCTGGGTGTAGAGTGTCAGGATAGCACATATAACTGTTTGAATGCTGGATTAGGATTTTGTGAGATCAGTTCAAATCCTTTGCTTTGTAAACATGGGTGACCTTGAATAAGTCTCTCTCTCTCTCTCTCTCTCTCTCTCCCAGCCTCAGAATACAGCAATAGCAAACCCTCTCTGACCAACCTTGTCAAAAATGCTCCATGACAGGTTCACCTTAGGGTCGTCTTAACTCAGAAACAATTTGAAGGCATACAGCAACCTGAACTTAGAAAAGGTAAATGTAAAAGTTTTTTCCTGACACTAAGTCCAGTCATGTCCAACTCTGGGGCTTAGTGGTCATCTTCATTACTAAGCTGAAGAGCCGGCATTGTCCGTAAACACCTCCTAGGTCATGTGGCCAGCATGACTGCATGGAGCACCATTACCTTCCCGCAGGAACGGTACCTTTTGATCTATTCATATTTGAATGTTTTCGAACTGCTAGGTTGGCAGAAGCTGGGACTAACAGCGGGGGCTCACCTTGCTCTCCGGATTCAAACTGGTGACCTTTTGGTCAGCAAGTTCAGCAGCTCAGTGGTTTAACCCACTGCACCACCGGGGTCTCCATCCTGAACTTAGTACAGAAAATCTATGTCAGGTTTTCTGCTGAGAAGGGTGGAACAGCTGATCCGTGGCTTTGGACAAAGAAGGTAAATCACAACAGTGAAGCCTAAATATTTTGAGTGTCTGAAGATCCTAGTTTTTCTTCAAATAACTTAATAATAATAATAATAATAATGTCAGAAGCAGCTTGAGAAACTGCAAGTCATTTCTGGTCTCTGCCGTCTGCAGAGACGTTGTCCAGGGGATGCTTGGATGTGTTACCATCCTGTGGGAGCCTTCTCTCATGTCCCTGCATGGGAAACTAGTGCTGACAGATGGGAGCTCACCCCATCTTACAGATTCAAACCACCAGCCATCAGGTCAGCAGTTCAGCCGGCGCAAGGGTTTAACCCATTGTACCAACATGGCTCTTTCAAATAACTAAAAAAGCAATGCTGTACACACCTCTTCTTTAGTAAAAAGAAATAGCAGGCTCTACTCATTTTCTTATGCCCATTCAATGAAAAGGTTGGCCTCCTGTCACTTATTTAGACAATCCAATATCCTAATAATAATAATAATAATAATAATAATAATAATAATAATAAATCTTTATTTGTATCCCGCTTTTCTTCCACCAAGGGACCCAAAGCAGTTTCCAACATCTTAAAACAGTACAAGTAAAAAAACAACACATATAACACATAAAAATCAAACCATAAAATAGCACATAAATAAGCATTTTTACAACAAACATTTAAAACTAAATACCACTGATGTGGGGTCTTGTCAGTTCATATTTGCTCAAATTCCATAAAAAATTGTCTTTACCTTTACTTCAGATTAGATTTCTTCATTGAATGCTTGCTTAAACAGAAAGATTTTAAGCTGTTTTTGAAAGGTGTACTACTGAAGAAAAACCCAGGCAAATGTCCAATCCTAGCAAAATAAGCCTAATAGATAAGAAGGGCTTTCTTTTACATTATGTGGAATAATCATATATTTATTACTAGCCCGCTCTTGGGAGAAAGGATTAACATTGGTGTCACCATTTTAACTCAACCTATAGATATTTTTGTGAGTTCTACTTAGCAAAGTAGTCTTCTCCTAAACGTATTTACTTACAAAAGCATCACCTTGACATCAATGAACCGCAGCTCTGAACAAACAGTGAGAACAATAGTAGCATTTGGTTATCAAATTTTGATTGCTTTCATGTGCCCTGCATTTACCTTCCTGTGCAAAAAAAAAGGGGGGGGGCAGCAGAGCACTGTTTCACTATTTTGATTTCATCTGTGTCAGGCCTTATAACCCAACAAGCTAAGGGTAGCCAGGATTGAAAGATCACCATATTGAGGCTAATCCTCCTGGGATTGCTCCTACCAATGTTTTCAAAGACCTGGCAAAAAATAATACTTGGCGTGAGAGCTATGTTCAGCTTGGAAGAATATAACTTGTCCTAATTTTCATGCCAGTCCACACTAGAATCTGCTGAATAAAAATTTCCTCTCTTGAGCAAAGAAAAGAGAGTCCTAGGAATGATTTGGCATGATACTCATCTTGCATCACTCCCCTTATCTAATTCAACCAAGACATGGGCCACTATCAAATAATGAAGTCGTATGATGGCTAAGATGATATAGGTTCTCATTGAACAATGAGGCAGATAACTCAAACTGCAAACAGACTAATTTAGCCTTGTTACAAACTGAAATGTCACAGGACACGCTCTTAGAAATGTTCATCACAGATGAGCAAAATGATATGGTTGAACTTTGACTGTTTCCTGTCTGGAATTCTCCTGTTTTCTGACTGTTGTTCTTCATTTGCTGTCCTGATTTTGGAGTGTTTTCTAAATACTGGTAGCCAGATTTTGTTCATTTTCATGGTTTCTTCCTTTTTGTTGCAATTGTCCACATGCTTGTGGATTTCAATGGCTTCTCCATGTAGTCTGACATGGTGGTTGTTAGCATGGTCCAGCATTTCTGTGTTCTCAAATAATATACTGTGTCCAGGTTGGTCCATCAAGTGCTCTGCTATGGCTGACTTCTCTGGTTGAATTATTCTGCAGTGGACAAGCATGTGGACAATTTCAACAGAAAGGAGGAAACCATGAAAATGAACAAAACCTGTATCTGTAAAACCAGTAATAAAAAACTCTAAAATCAGGATAGTAAATAAGTTAATAAATTAATTGCATTTTTTTAAATCTCATAAAAACGTTTCTTTTTCTTCCCATGTTTCTGTGCATGGCTAGAATTATATTTTTCTAAAGCAAGTCAGGGAGACACCTTAAAGCCCCGTTTCAACATTTTAATTCTAGAGAAGGTGTAGGAAGAATTAGGATCACACCTGGTGGTCATGTTCTGACTGACTGTGTAAATAGATGCATGAACAAACTGATGGCTCTTGATACACACACACACATACACACACACACACACACAGAGAGAGAGAGAGAGAGAGAACTTGGGGTGTACTTCACAAAGATGTCGATCCTATTAAGACCACAATTATGATGGTCATGCCATTACAATTGAAATGCCTTTTCATAGTTTATCCTGCCCCTATTCAGGTTATCTGCTGGAAATAACAGGCTTTGTGTATAAGAATTTGATGACTGCAAAACAACTATTATTTAGACTTCGATTCCATTCAAACTTTATAGATGTACACATCAACCATCATATTAGTACAAAAATGAAAAGGTGATGGATATATAATGTTATCAAACCCCAAACTTTTTTGCACTTTCCAAATCTTTGCGGGATCTGTGTATAATTTGCAAGGCTTGAGCAAGCATTTGAAAAGGCAATGTAACAGACATAGGAATATCGAACAATTGGATGATTACACTGGACCTTGATTTTAACTAGGAGACATTAATGATCTATGTTTTATTGACCTAGTTATGATTGTATATTTATGTTTTAAATGTTTTATGATGCTCCTGGGCATTGAATTTTGCCTTTGTAAACCACCTTCAGTCACCCATGGGCTGAGAAAGGTGATATACAAATATAGTAAATAAATAAATAAATAAATAATATAGATTTGCCTCTGAGCCGTGCACGGCAGAAATATTTGTCCCCCATTTGACTTTTTCCATATTTCGCTGTATTGAATGCTAGTACTGAAACAGATCCAACATGTTGTATATTTATATAACCGACAAGTACCAGATTGTTTTTGTTATCTTCACTTCTGTGCCATTTACAAAAATATTTTGCACCTTCACAGTGTTAGATATCTTGTGTATATCAAGTAGTAACATTGCAAATCCATTTCAGTAACAGATTGCAACATGCGAAAATGTGGAAAAGTCAAAGGGAAAGCGGTGAATTGAACTATTCCATTTCTACTGTTTCCTTTCAGATGCTTGTTTTGAGCAAAATACAGTAAAAAGAATGTGTATGTACATTAAAACCATTAATTGTTATATTAATTTAAAAGCCTTTATAATTAATTTTTCGGCATAAGTTTGAATGCAACATGACTTTGAAATATGGCAGATAAAACCTGAAATCCAATAAAGAGAAGGTGCCATTTAAGTTTCCACCACATTTTGTGATACT